AACCTCAGCTTCAGTGAATGTATCCAGTTTTGAAATGGAAAAATCTAGAGAAAGTTTGTTTTAACTTTAACTTTGTGACATTTCAAGAAATAACATTAGTCCTCCATTACATGGGGAGGAAAGGCACTAAAAAAGGTGCTTTTTTAGTGTCTTTAAATTTCTTAATTTTATGCCTATACTATAAAACCTAAACTGATCTCTCCTCTGAAAATATATTTTACTGTGTTTTCCATAGACACTGGCATTTAATTATATATTGTCATGTGTAGGTATATGACCTAGGGGTTGAGCAGGTGGATTATGAAATCGGACTGATGTGTTGGAATCCTGATTCTGACACTCTGTGGCTTGAATTATTTGTGGTAGATAGTCTCCAGTCTTGGCTGTCAACTTCCCTCCCTACCACTCCTCTGCTGAAAGGTGAAACTTATTTCCCCTTAAGTCCTGCTGGGCCTATAACTGCTCTGACCAATAGATCTTGGCAGAAGTGATGTTCTGAGATTTCTGAACGTGGGCCTTGGTGAACTTGAAGCTTCTCTTCCTTTCCTCTTGGAATGCCCCTTTTTGGCATCCAGCTGCCATCCCAGGAGAGGCAATGGAAGAGCATGGATGTGTTCTGGTGGACAGTCCCAGCCATGATCCCAGCTGCCATCCAGCACCAGTTGCCAGCCATATGACTAAGCCATTTGGATGTCCTAGCCCAGTCGAGCCTCCAGGTAACTGCAGCCCCAAACAGCATCACATAGTTCTGTCACTGGTTAAAAGACTTCAAGAATCAGAATGCAGAAGGTGGTGGAGGTAGGGGACAAAGGAGATATAGAAAATAAATGGAACTACTATTTATTGGGGACCTACTTAGTGCCAAGGCCCTGCTGTGTTTTCACATATATAATCTCACTTGCTCTTCACAGAAACTTTGTTAGGCATCTGTTTTTAGCCTCATCATTTAGTGGACATTCAGAGAAGTTAAGTAATTTATCCCACAGACAGGACATAGTACAGGTAGGCTTCAAAGTGGCCTGTCTGACTGCAAATCCCATTCTTTTTCTGTCACCCTCTCACATATTTTGGACAGAGGAGATCTGAGAACTTTCAAAGTGTAATTTCTATTTTCAATGAGAAATTACATTTTCAGCCAGATTCTATTCAACCCAACTGATATTCTGCCTCTGATAAGAATACCAAGGGAAACATAAGAACATCCCCCAAAATCCTTCACTTCTCGTAATAAGTTATTTCAAACGCAGCACCAAGGAATCTGGATAAAGCCTTCAGGAAGCTAGTTATTTTTAGCTTATGTCACTTCTCTGAGAAACAATTTCCAGACGTGGAAAGCTGTATGCCTTCTGTTTTTTTCCTAATGTATCACCTTTGACACTCTAGGAAGGGCTGTGCCATCATGCCTGTATACATTGCTGTTTAATTTGTAAATGAGAAGTTAAGTTATCTTTTCTCACAGAGCGGTTTGCTTGGCAAGATCAGCACAACACTGACCAGAAAGCCTATACTAGGCCCCTCAAGTGGGCCTCTGAGATCCTGGCTGAAAGCTCACCCCAGATCTGTGTCCAATAATAAACTCGCCGTCAGATCTGGGAGTGCTCAGCTCATTCCTGCCTTCTCAATCTTCTCAGTGCCTCCTTCTCATGCCCCTCCTTTTCCTTTCCCCAATCTCTTGCAAAATCTTGTTCCAAAGTGTCAGTCAACCATCAGCGAATGGGATCAGAAGTTGCCTTAGAATCACAAAACCTCCTGGTCCCCAGCCCGAGAGCCCCCCATTACCATCCAGAGTCCTAAGATGACCTCCCACCCTCCATGACGTAAGAAGACATTTCACAGCAGCTTTATAAATGGAGAAACTCATTCGTTATTTTTTCAAGGGTCCAAGAAAAGAAAATGTTATGAACAAGAAAATTGTTGGTTGTTCATTGGCCAGGACACTGAAATTTGAACACTGAACAATTAATTTGAAGATAATATAAACAGGTTTCATTATACGGATTTTAGGAATAGGATATGAATAGGCTGTTGTTTGGAATTCTAGAATGTTCTTCCCCCCACAACCCCCACTCTTCCCCAGGCCCTCTCACCGAGTTGGCATTCTCCCTCCTACTACTCTGCTTGCTGGTTGTTTTCTCCATCTACGCCTGCTGTTAGAGTACAGACGAACTCACTCTGTGATTGGCTTTATGTGGTTATCTTACCTACATTTTCTCTGGTTTCCTATTACGTTACCAACACACATTTTTAAGAGTTCCATTATCTTAGTTTTTTTCTCCCTGCTGTCTTCAGAAAAATTGACTATTCAAAGGACTATTTTTTAAAGATTTTCTGTTGAAAGAAATAAGATTGTTTCTAGTCTCTTGTCCTCTTTCACAATTACAGCCATGTAATCCATAAGGAATCCATTAATGTGTAAGAGGCTTTGAAGCTGCTGTGTGTGTGCGCGCGCTGTTTTTTTTTTTTCTTTTCTCTCAGCGTCTTGCTGCTGCCAACCACTGATTTAGGAATGTTAAGGGGTATATGCCAACTCAATAATCAAAATCATTTTGGTACTGGGAACCCAACCACAGTCTCTGTAGACCAGTGGAATTTATTGCTTGCTCCAGTTTATTAAGTAATAGTACCAACAACATTTTGAATAAAGAAGAGTCTGATAAGATGTGATAGAATGTCAGGATAATTCATTTTGATCATAAAACAATGCTTGTTTTGAATTTAAAGTACTAAATGCATAAATAGACTCATGGTCCATGGCTTCCTTCCCTCGACCTGGTATAGGAATATGATTCGTAGCTCACTTCAGGAAAGAGGCTCAGTAAAAACTTCGCCTATATACACAGCCCTGTTTTCATTCCACAAATACATATCTAGTACCAGCTGTGGGTCAAGCACTGACCTAGGCATTGGGACCACAGTGGTAAACAGGATAAACACAATTCGGGCCACAGGGAGCTTTCTGAAGGAAGATATCTTGGCTGCATAGATTACTTGCTGCTGAGACATTTGAAGCACATGCAAAATGAGTAATGGTGAGGCTTGTGGACTCGAGAGTCCTACTGAACTATTTTCTGACACGGAGTATAGCACGCAAAGCTGTGTTATCCTGAACACTTTATGCGGCCTCGCTAAGCGTCAGATCCTTAAATTGCAATGTACTTACCTCACAGGATTATTTTGAGGGTTAAGTGAAAAAACCATAGTTCAGCTTTTAGCAAGTACCTGGTGAATTTTGGTTTTGCTGGTTTTAGGCAGAGTAGTAGTAAGAGCAGCCGCAGAGAAGACGCACCCTGACCCTCAGCAGCGGCTAAGCAGACAAGACTGTTTCCTCATCCTGGGCGTGGCACATCCAGGTGCCCCGATCGTCACCAGGAGGTGGCAGATCACCACACCCTGGGCGGCTCTTTCATTTGAGGGAGAGGAAAAAGGTTTGCCCAAGGCTTGGAACCGTATCCTCTGCCTTCTAATCTGCAGTGCCTCCTATTGCTCAGGGAAGGAAATGCAGCTCCTTCCTCGCCGGGGAGTGTAGTTGTCAGCCCCACTGGCAAGGATCCCTCACACGATCGGAGCGCTGACGTCTCCAACCCCAAAAGATGCAACCCCCCCCCATCACCCCTGAGACCTGCCACTAGTCGTAGTGGCTGCAGAAACCTGCCATCCTGTGGCATACTGGGGCCTTCAGAGATCACAAGAACCCATCTTTATGATGGATCTAGATTGGTTTTCCCTAGGGATGACGCTGATTTCAAACGTTTATCTCCAAAAAAGCACTCAGGAAGCTGTGTGCACCTGGTTCCTCTGCTCTTCTGACTCTCCAGAGGCTTCATCTTCTACCTGGCAGGAGAGTTAATTTGTTTGGTTTCCTTTCTAGGGACCTAGGTGCTAAAACAACCCACTGGATCTAATCTGCCCCATCCCTTCCCTATGAAATGGGCACAGCAAATCCCCCCCCAAATCCTGCCCAGCTCATCTACCCCTGAGGGGCCTTACCAAAACTAGCATGTGGGAGGAGAGCAAATTTAAATGAAATAAACATGAATTTCCTCCTAACAATAATAGTTCTAGTCAGTCAACACTGAGTGCCAATTACCTACTTGATGTCACAGGAAAGACAAATCCCAGCCTCCTTCCTGATAGTTTAGCAAGAGGCTGGCTGAGCAGCTCTATATTCATTCGAGGGAAAAACAGGCTGATGCCAAAGGCTGATCTCTCAAGGTTCTGTCTTCAAAAAGACTGCTTCCTCAACCAGGAAATGCCCAATATTACATAGTCTACCAGATGGTCTCTGCCATGCTCTTCCTATAAATCCATAGAATAGACCCTGGAGCTGTTTCCAGGGTACATCCAGCTCTGGTTGACCAAACACACATCTGTGCTGGGTGACGGCAGCCCAGCGTACCCATTCTGATGCCTCTCCACATAGACACTTCTCCATAAACTATACTTTATTTTCTGCTGCATTTTCATTGTCGCTGGTATGGTGTGTGTCTGTGCCACCTTGGCATGACAGCATCATGCCCCTGGAAATTGGTCAGCATGCAGGTATGAAAAACTCAAGGTCTATATACCTGAGGAGTTCACAGCTGTAAAAAAGGAATCAAAGGCTACTGTAAAAGATGTAAATACACGTGTAGACACTGAAGGCAAGAAGGGACTGATGGGCTCTCAGTGCACCCCAACCCCAGGCAGCAGATTATAATCATAACCAAGGTGCATACTTCTGCCTGATCAGCAGAGTCCTCTGGGGTCACTCATAAAGGGGGTCCAAACTGACTCTTGGACCCTCACTTTCACTCCCCCAGGGAAAAAGAAGCCAACCCCCCAACACACCCCACCCAGATGACAGTATCTGACAAATTCCACATGGAACAAACCCAAAGAGTGGGGGTATATACTAAAGGAGACCTAATTTTTGTGGAGAACGAACCATAGACTAACTCTTTACTTACATTGACTCATTTAAGACATTAACAGAAAATACTAAATTTTTGCTACACCCACAGGTAACACTTCAACATGAGCAGACATGCCAAGTGGATGGAAACACGGTCGTTGGCCCTTTGAAGTGAGATGGCAAACCTGGGAAAACACTCAGCCTGAGCTGCTGTGTTCAGGTAAGGGCTCACAGATGAGTGTAGGGCTGAGGCAGAGAGAGGCTGCTGAAGTCTGTCCTACACTCCCCGCTTAGCCTGTCTGTGCAGGTACAGTCCCGAGAAGAAGGGGTGCCACACTTACATTCCACACACACTACACCAACACCATGCACCACAAAGCCTAGAGATGCCACTTTTCCCTAATTCATCTGCCTCAAAGGGCCCCTTTTTATAATTGGTATAATTTGTATGTGCTAGCAGGTACCTCAGTTTCCCTCAAAGCCTTGCAGGACTTGACGGTTCTGAGGGCATGTTGGGTACAGGGCATCTCCCATTTGGAAATGTCAACTGCTTGAAGACTTGTCTTGGACTCTGGTCTTCTCCCTAGAAGACTGTCCCCAGGGAGTAATCAGGGAGCCTTAGAAAATAAATGGCTCTGTTCATTAAGTTTTTTTTTAATTAAATGTTTTTATTTTGAAATAATTGTGGATTCACATGCAGTTGCAAGAAATACAGAGAGATAGCAGTGCACTCTACCCTAGGTTTAATTTTTTTAAACCAATGTTTATTGACTTCTTTTTCTGTGTCCAGGCATCAGGAAAACAAAGATAACTCAGATAGGACCCCTGCCCCTCGATACCTTATATTCTCATGATTAAGGCAGACACAAAAGATCTCTTTGATAAAGTTCATCATGCAAACTGCCACGAGGGAAGGAAGCATCTTGGAGGAAGAATGCCGGGCAGTGTCTTAGGGGATGAATAGAAGTTATTCTAGAGATGGGTGTCGGAAGGGCAGTCTGGGCAGAGAAAACGGCACGGGCAAAGGCTCAGAAGTATGAATTAGAGTGATGTGTGCTGGGAGCCATTCAAATAATTCAGCATGGATTGGAACAAAAAAATCAAGAAAGGGATTTCAGAGGCATCTGGGGAATGAGAAGGGAATGTTGTTTGATCCTGGCCTCCCACATTCTATGCTTGGAAAATGAAAAACAGATGGGAAATATGCTCCCAAACATGGCCCAAGCCTGGTTCTGGGAGAAGCAGAAGAGAATCTTGTTCTGGTTTGAGGAACCCACAGAGCCTTCACTTCCAATCCTTGGCTATGGCCCACTTCCTTCTGTGACCTTCACTGAAAGCCAAGAGCAGGAAGTCTAGTTCACACCCTTCCTCTTCTGCACAAGGGCCACAGCTGAATGAAACCAAGCGCCCCCTCTACCAATCTGGGCTGCCACCTGGGGAATGCCTAAGCCCAGCCATCCTCATCTCCCATGTGGCATGGAGATTATCCAGAAGCCACCCAAGGACCTGGTGAAGGACACCAAAGGTAGTTGATGGTGCTGTTGGCAAGCTCGGCAGAGGGTTACCAAAGTGGGGGCTGCAAAGCAGACTTCCTGAGCTGGGAATCTAATGGGAATCCCTACTGTACTTCAAAGAACTAGACAACCCCACAGACCGAAGAGGAGGCTGGTTACAGGAGGTCACCAGGCCCTGACTGATCTGAGAAACAGCAGAGCTGGAGTATTCTAACCACCTGCAGAAGATGCTGGTAGTGAGGAGTGACCAGATGCACAGGGAAATCATTTCTTCAGACATGAAAATCCAAAGAGCAGCCTGGGGTCTGAGTTCCCACCCACCTGCCACGCGGACATGATAAGCAAACCCACGCACTCACAGGCATTCTGGAGAAGGCAGGAAGGTGATACCAAGATACCTCAATGGGAGTTTCCTTGTCCCTCAGCAGGATGGGGCTCATAAGGAAGAGCAGGCAATTTATAGAAAACTAAGCCAGATTTTCTTTGAATATATTCTAAATGCTAAAGATTCTCTTACTGAAAAAGAGATGAGCTCTGTTTTTACCTGTCCTCAGGTCCAAGGATGTGACAGCCTTGGTACATCCCCAGAAAATGGCGACATGGCCTTTAGAAGAGGACCAGGACAGACTTTAGACCTGTGAACTCATCTGCTTCAGGAAAACCTCATTTTGTAGGATCCACCTTGTAACGGGAAAAAAGGGAGGAAAAGAGAGGTGTGGGATAAAGAAGAAAGTGGTGTCCTTCACGGGCAGGACTTAGAATTTGGGGACTTACAAGTCACTGGTGGCCATACTTTCAGGTGTGTTTTTTTAAAGTAAAAGAGGAATTTTCTTAGGGAGGTTTGCTGTGTTAACAAAACCCCTCACAGCTCAGGGACTGACAACAATGGTTTATTTCTTCATCATGCTACTTGGAAGCTGAGGTGGGCTGTGGTTTTCCCCAAGACCTGTTAAGAAAAACTCACCTTTCCTTCTGTGTCTCCCCTTTACTCTCACACAACTGCCATTCTCACTACTTCTGACACCAGATCTGAGGAGGGTTTTCCCACACAATTCTCTGCAACCTGAATTCAACTCAGTTCTGTTACTATCTACCTGGAGACAGCATCAGATCCCACAGGTTAAGGGCTTGGTCCCACAGACAACCCCACGCCCCTCGAACCACCACCACTTCAGATGCTAATCGCAAGTCCAGGTGGTTACCTGGGCTTCTGACCAATTAGCTGCAAATCAAAGGTTCCCACCACCCTCTTGTCCGCTATAGTTAATGTGATAGAGCAACTCACAGAACTCAGGAAATGCTTCCTTACTGTTTACCAGCCTATTAGGAAAGGACACGACAAAGGATACAGATGAACATCCGGACAGAAGAGATGCATAGGGCACAGTATGCAGAAGGGGCAAAGAACTTCCACACCCTCTCTGGGCTTGCCACTGTCCTACCACCTCCATATGTTCGCCAACTTTCCCAAACCCCATACTTTTGAGATTTCTATGGATGTTTCATCACATAGTCATGATCAACCATTAACTCCATTTCTAGCCCCTCTCCCCTCTTTGGAGAATGTCTGAAAATCCCAAGCTTCTAATCATGGCTTGGTCTCTCTGGTGACCAGCCCCTCAACCAAGAGTCAATTAGAACAAAGACACTGCTATCACTCAGGAAATTCCAAGGGATTCAAGAACTCTGTATCAGGAACCAGGTCAGAGATCAAATATTAGAACAAAAGATGCTCCTAGTGCTCCAATCACTTAGGGAATTACAAAGGTTTCAGGAGCTCTGTGCCAGGAACCAGAGCAGACACCAATATGTTTTCTAATATCTCATATCCCAGGCTCTGCTCTGTCTTCTCATTTCAGGACTCAGGCTGAAAGAGTAGCCCTGATGTGGGTCATGCCTGGGAAAGAGGAGGAGAATTGGCCAGAATTCAAGATGAGGCTTCAATTCGGCTCCAATACGGCAAATGCCATATTTACTCGAATTTCATTGGCCAAAGCATGTCACAAGGCCAAGCCCAAATCCAATGAAGTGAGGTTATAAAATCCTTCCATAGGAGGCACAGTAAATCACCTAACAATGGACCAGTAGGGGATGGGCTGTGATTGAAAAAAAAAATATGTATAACCTGTCATGATAATACACACTTACTACAGATAATTTGGGAAATATAGAAAGGAAGGAAGAAAATGAAAATGACCTGTAATCCCACTATTAACATTCTGACATATTTCCTTCCAGAGTATATGTGTGTTTACTTCTTCTGACAAATTTAGGATTATTAACATATACAAGTATATACCAGCTTTAAAGGCTACTGGCTTACATAGAATTATTTAATAAACCCTTTCCCACATAAATAATCTTCTAAAATATCACCTTAATTCCTACACAACTTTGCTATTACAGATAGGCTAGGTTTTGTAGCAATAACAAAAATTCTCAACTTTCTTGCACGGCTTTAAGCCAAAAATATTTATTTCTTATTCAAGCCACACATCCAGTACAGGTTGGCATGGAGGCTCTGCTCATCATAATCTCCCAGAGCAGGTAGACACAACTACCATCTCAAAAATGTACCTGGCTATTGCACAAGAAGGAAAGGAGACTATAAGAAGCATTCATTGGCTCCTAAAGCTTCTGCCTCCAAAGTTTTCACATTTTAGTAGTCAAATCCAGTCCTGTAGTATAATTTCTTTTTAAATGGCCCCAATATTTTGCAGATCATCCAATAAAAAGGCTGTCTATTTCTCCAGCCCTTGACTCTGAGCTTGGCCCTGTGACTTGCTTTGGCTAATGACACATTAGCAAATGGAATGTACACAGAGGCTTAAAACATGCTGTGCACTGGAGCTTCCTCTCTCTTAATGCTTTTAGAATAACCCAAGATTGACCTAGAGGGAGACAGACCACATGGAGAGGGAGACCCTGCTGTCCCAGCTCTTCCTGCCTTCCCAGATGAATGTGAGGCCCTTCTCAACCACTCAGCTCCAGCCAGCCAAGATCAGAAGAATCATCCAGCCAGTCCACAGAATCTGTGAGTTTTTAAGCCACTAAATTGTGTTGTGGTTTGTTATGCAGCAAGAGTTGACTTATACATGTGTCTAATCTAATTTCATCAGGGAAAGACTGGTGATATTTTTTTAAAGTCTCAATGTCTACTTCAACATTAAATCTAATGGATGTGCCATCACTTATTTAACCATTTTCTTATTGTTAGAATCACACCGTTACCTAATGTGTTATATCACATTTATTACAACTATAAACAACATGACCATGAACATCTTTGTGTATAAATTTTTATTCAAGTTTTTTATTATTTCATTATAATAGATTGGTGGAAGAATTACTGGATCAAAATTTAAGCCTCTTAACAATTACCAAATTATGAGCCAAAGGACTGTACTAGTTTATGTCTAATGAAAGTATGTAAGCCTACCCACTTCACTGTACCTTCACTCACCATCACTGAGTGTGAGCTTTTAAAAGTATCTTTGCTAATCTAATGAGGGAAAAAAATCTCCTTTAAATTTTAATTTCGTTACACATTGAGGTTGACTTTTTCTTTCAATATTGTTAATGGTTAACAATTCTTCTACAACACTAAATCCAACCTGAATACCCCACCAGACAAAATTGGCAGGAAGTTCAACACCAGGTATCTTTCCCCATTTCCTTTCCCACTCTTAAATAATGAGGAACCTAGAGCTCTGAATGGTTATTGTAAGGTTTGGGAGGCTCTGTGCTGGTGCCTCATCCATCCAAGCTAGGTGTAAGGGAGACTTCTTCAAGGGGTAAGGCCATCTGAGTTTCCACAGCCTTGAAGGTGATGTCCAGTTCTTACACTTACACATGCCTTATTCAGGTCCATCTACCTCAGACGCATTGGAGTGGATGCAGGTCTCATCCTGCTCAGATCTTTAACCACGTGATGCTTGCCCAATATTACATACTATTAGCACCACAGGAAGTCAATGTTAAAAGCATGATATAAATGTCAAATATCTAAGAAATCATATATGGATGTATGCAACCATAAATCATCATATTTCCTCTGTATTTCTTGGCTGAGAAAAACAACCCACAACAGTTTATTGGTTAGAAAAGAAATAGAGTCAGACTATGAACACCACCACTTCATAGACAGACTTACTACCAAGACCGTCTGTATTCACAACTCCCACCTCCACTATTTTTTCATACCCTGCTCTTTGAAAAATCTTCACTTCCATCAACTGTGAAGAGATATCACTTCAGTCAGTCAACGAATCAACAACTGTGCTCATCACTTGGGGTCAACAGTCAGTTTCTCCAAGGACCATATAGTCCTGTCTCTAACTCTTCTTCCTGGAAAAGTTGCTGAGTAAAAAGGCAGTCTTCATGAAACTGAATGACTACCCATTCGCCAGCTTGCCCGTGTTATAGTGGTCAGTCAGCACCAGACCCAGCTTGCCTGCATCTAAGGCAAATGAAGAACTTTCAAGGAAACACAAAAAGGGTGCTTAGCCAAACCTGTTGTGAGGCAACGTTTGCCTGTACAGTCTGAGTGCTATGTCTTCTATAAAGGAATGTCAGGAAAGAAAGAGAATGGAAACCATTCCCAGTGTGGGCATCTTTCCTCTCCCACACATGCTAGAGCCGGGACAGTGGGCACAATAGTGAGTGGAGGAGCAGGGGGCGCTGAGAAAGCAGATCGGGAAAGGGGCCAGCTCTTGTACTTTGAATCTGTTGCTGGAAAAGAGTTTTTATATGGGGCCCCCACAGAGCTGTTTTACTCTTCCAGGTCTACTTAGGGTCCTTTTGATGTAGGTCCACCACATCTCCTTAAGATTCAAATTCAGCTGAAGGTCCTGAAGAAATAATGCCTCTTTTGAAAGAACAGAAGGGTCCAGAAGCGTCTGGATTCAACAGGCCACTGTCTAAATTGACAGCCTGTTCTCAAGCCTGAGGGATGATGAAACTTCAGACTGGGAGAGAATTCCACATCAAAAACGTCTGCTTCTGAGGTCTCACTCTGATTGCCCTCATCCCCATTAACAAAAACAGATGTATGCTCACGAGTAAAGTAAACATTCAATGTCAATATATGTTCCTCTCCACCAATCTAATTTGGCACTTCAATATGAGCAAATAGTCTGTGAAGCAGAGTGGAACTTTTCTATAATATTGGTGTCAAGTGACAGGGCTGACATCTGTGTATTAGTTTAACTTATATTAAATATCTATGGAATAGACTTTTTCATGGGGAATGATTCAAGCTATGGTAAATATACTGACATGGAATACATAGTTTTTCTCTACTAGAGAAACAAGAAAGTATGATATTTAAGAGCCCGAGTTTGAATGCTGTTTCTAGTGCTTACTGTCTGTAATCTTGGGTAAGTCACTAACCTGTTTCTCTCTCTACAATGGATTTTTTAAATACTACGTATCTCCTACCTTGTGGGTTCCATGCAAAAATGTGAGGTCACTCTAGGATTATTCAATTGTACTAGAGGAAGTAGGATACCGAACCTTTTCTTCATTCATTATTTCATTAGGTATTTATTGAGTACCTACAATGGGCCAGATAGAAATATAGCGGTGATAATGAAAGACATCAAAGTCATCATGGAGTTTATGGCCTCCTGATTCATCTGCCACCCTAGATGTGACCATCCCCTATCACTCAGTACCCTGAGCATAGTGTTTCTCAAAGTTACTTGAATTATAAGAATCACCTGGCACTCCTGTATAAAGACAAATTCTAAGACCTCCTCTCATTTCAACTGAATATAACATGGGGATTCTTTCTTTTCCTCATTGGCAAAAAAGGCAGCAGAGCAACCCCAACCACCGTCTTTTACTGTGTGTTCCAAGAGAAATAGCAAATAGCAAATAGCTGAGTAAAAAGGCAGCAAATAGCAAATAGCTTATTGTGTGTTCCAAGAGAAATAGCAAATATGATTTTGGAAATCATGAAGTTGCTTTTCACTGTGTGGCATCCAGGCCCTCTCTGGAGCTTTAGAGAAGGCAGCCAAAGGCCACTCAGAGCCCAGGGTCTGTCTTGGTGTCCTCCCACTCTACTCCTCTTTCTGGACTCCCTGAAGACATGACTCAGAAGCCACCAATCCCCATTTTAACCTAATGAGCTATGAGTCTCAGACTGGAACTAGCCTCAAGTCTACCAGAAAGGTGGACACTTTCATCATATTCCCAGAGTGCCTATGATGAAGCTTCAGAAGGCCAGTCAATGGCATACTGGTGGTTTTCAGGAGAAAGCCCTTCCTTCCCTTGGTACCTGACGATATGAGAGATGAACACAAAGAGTATTAAGGTCTTAGGTCGTTATTTTATAAAGGAAGTAGGGTCTTGGAGGTTCTCACCACCCAGCCCCTGCCCATCTCTCCAGCTTCATCTCCCACTCCTCTTCCATATATCCACCTAGCCCCTTCTTTCAATAATTAAATCCTCCCATTTTTTATGGGTCATGAAGCCATCAGGAATAATGACTACATTGCCCAGCCTCCTTGCTACAATGATCAACGGGATGTAAGCAGAAATGTCATATGGCCCAGGAGCAGTCCACAATAAACAAATGGCACGTGTTTTATCCTTTTCTATCCTGTCATTTCCTCCATCCTGCTGCTTGGAATGCAAATCTCTTTTGAATGTTGGAAATGAGACTACATTTAGCAGTACTGGAATAGAGAAGGATCCCTGCGCACTTTGTGGAGCCGAGCCTCTAGACTAGTCTTGAACTATCAACGTCTGGACTTTTACATAAGAAGGAAACTTCTATCTGGTTTAAGCCACTGTTGTTTTGGGTTTCTGCTACTCATATCTAAAATGAGTGCTAACTGATAATAGTGCTCAGGAGCATGGGTTCTGAAATTAGACTACTAGGTTCAATCACTTATTAGCTCATAGTGACAGGACATTTACTTTACTTTTTTGCCCCAGTTATAAAATGAGGATGCTAAAGACAGCATCTACCTTCTAGGATTGCTGATAGGAATGAACTGATACATGTAAAGCTTAAAACATGTAAAGCCTGGCACAGACTAAACATCCAGAGTAAAGTTGTGCCCAAAAGGAGCAAGACTGAAAGTTATTCTTCTCAGATCAAAGGTAGACTTTTCTGGTGTTACAGCAATAGCAATGGTGCTAATAATATCTTTAAGTTTTTTATGGAGCACTTTTAAGGAATCTTTTCAACTACCCCATGAATATATATGATTACTTGCATTCTGCAGAGAAGAAAATGGAAGCGTAGAGAGGTTAAGTAATGTACCAAATATCACAGCTATAAGGGGATGTGATAGGATTCACACCCACGTCTCTTACCTTCACATTCTGTTCATTTTCTGCAAACCTTCACTTGCTCTTAAATGTGAATGGTTGTATATTTTTCTATCATGTCTATTTTTCTATCATGCCCTAGACATATAAATTTTGCAAAAGGACTCCCAGGCTAGATTTTTCTATTTATAAGTAATCAAAAAGGGTGTCCCAATTCCCCATGTAAGAAGTTTTATTTTCTGGTCCCTGAAAGTTTAGGTGCAAATAGGCCCTGTATCTGATCACATAAATATGAGCCCTAGAATATACAAGGAGCTTGATCAGGGCTCAGCTCAAGAATGTGAGTGGAAGAAAAGCCTCAACACATCTTTGATGGCAATCTAGGTCACGGGGCCTGATTCTGAGTGTATTTCAGGGGCAGGGGTGAGGCTCCGTGCATGTGTTTGGATTGGCAATTCTTTTGACTGAAGGAGTGTGGAACCAGGACTGGGCAGCTGCTGCTTACCTGAAACCTTGTAGCTATTTTCCATGTTCCCTAAGGGCAGGGCCAGGGGCACTTGTTGCATTTGGAGGAATTTAACTTAGATGCTAGGAAGAGTGCTTGCTCACTCTAAGAAATGTGGAAGGCAGACACAAATGTGGTTGTAGAATATTGGTACCTGTGCAAATTTAAAGAACGTATAGGAAAAAAATCTTGTGCATAGAGGGTATAGATTGAGCATCATCCTGGTAGAAAATAGGAGGTGAGAACAAAAGGTAATGGTTTAACAGTTCTAAGCAGGGAACTGAGTTCAAATCCCAGCTTGCTGGTTCAGTGAGTTGAGCCCATTTACTTAAGTACTCGGATCCTCTTTTTCCCCTCACTATAAAAAGATCACCGTATACCTACCTCTGAGACTCACTGTAAGTTTGAAAAAAAAATACATCCAATAATATGGGAGGTGTCCAATAAATACTCATTGTTTTCTCGTGAATCTTTTCCTCTTCTGTGACTCTATGATTCAGCACTTCCTGGAATTCTAAGGCACTAGAAACTTTCCAAAGAGCTTAAAGTGCTTAATCTCTAGCTTCTGAGTTCTTCCCAGCATTACTTCTTGAGGTAATGGGGCCTGATTCTGAGTGATATTTCAAGCTCACGCTCAGAAGGGCCAAACGAGGTGAGTGCAAGACATGGGTCAGCAATCAGCAGCCACTTTGGGCTGTTAGCTGGCCCAGTGGCTTTCTCACGTGTCGTTTTCTCCACTGCTTCATGGGGGAACAAGATTGGGATTGTCAAAAACAAGATACTCCACACAGTGTCCAGAATCAGTGTGGCTGTTGCTTGTGTGCCTTGCTGCCTGGGGTCCAGCATGAGGCCCTGGGAAGGGCAAAGCTGTGAGAAAAATCAGGCATGGGCCATGCTGGTACCCTTCCCTGCATGGCCTGGGGACTCCAGCACCCTCACAGGCATGATGAAAGGACGAGAACTGGTGAACGCTGAAGACTCTTCAAGCTCAAAGTTCCTCTGAGGCAGAATGTAGACAGTTTCTATCAGTGGAAAATGATTTCTGTGTCCTCTGAATCTTGTTCACACTTTCTCTTGAAGAAGACACTCTTTAAGTCTCTGTAAGTTTCCATCCTGACTGGGGGTCCCTATGTAGGTGCAGCTTGGTGGAAAGGGGAAGTGAACAATGAGGGAGGGTGTTGGGGAAAATGGCAGCATCATCTCAGAACCAGCCCTTCCAGTCTCTCGTGTCTGACTGGACAGGGAGGACTGCCTGCCCACTTCTGCCTCACGGGAACGGAGGTGGGAAGTGGGAAAGGGTGAGGCACAGTCCTTTGCCGCCAGCCTCTCAAGCCTGCCACGTCATTAGAAAGTCTTATTGTGCAAGTCTTACACCCAAAGTTTAGAGAAAATAAATTAAAAAGAACTTATATCCTGATAAAGGTCATTCTTGTCCTGTACAACTTTTTTACTTTAAACTGACAAAAATTAGCGAAAGAAAGAATTGTTTTTCAACTCGTAGGCTCTATGTTTAGTCCAATAAGTTCTCCCACTGCCAAGTGTACCTGCCGCAGTGTGAACATGACCAATGAAAAGCAGTTGAAAAGAGTTGCTTTATATGATTTTCTATCTATAAAAGTAAAGGTACAGTGTACAATGCTATCTATCCCAATTCAATCCCAATTTTTTCTCTAAAGGAGAGGGAAAGACCAACAGAGGGAGAGGAGTCGGCTCTTGCAGTAGCTTTCCATTCGGCTAGAAGAGGAATTGCTCTGCTGGCTACATCTTGGGTTTGCCCTTTCTTGCTGATTTTTTTTTTTTTTTGGAAAGGTGGCCATTACCACAGTCCTCTAGTGCCCTCTGTTGTCCATTTCTGGAAACTCACAGGGCAGCATGACACGCTAAACGTGGGCAAGTCATCTTAACACCTCTAAACTTTTCCAACAAAGAGACCTAAACAATTCAAAACTGTGATTCCACTGTTAGCTCACTGAGGGGAAGTGTATAGTCAAGTTACATTGTTAGTTCAGAGACTTACAGAATATTAGGAAGGATCTTTAGAAAATATTTAGCCATTTTTTTCTTTTTTACCTAAGCATGGGAATTAGCCCTGAGAGATATTAGCAGTTATTATGTGAAACTGCAGAGGGTTATGAAATGCTGGGTTAAGTCAACATTAAATTAAACGTTAAATAACCAGGTTCTTTCCTGCTGGCCTTCTCAAAGCCTTTAATATGGAGTGTGTGTCTCCCAAGGGGAAATGGATTTTCCCCATAGCAGTTGACAGTAGAACCACTTTTTATATGAATTTCTTGTAGGGCCAGTATTCCAGGGAACACACTTGGGTTGTGCCAGTCACATCCAGATGAATCGTTCTATAAATTTAGAAACTGAGTTTCAGGGAGGAGCTGGTAACTGGGTGGTAATGGAGCCGCCTTGAGGATCTGTGAGGGAGGCTCCCGGGCTCCCAGAGCTGCTGCTTCACCAGAGTGCCCCCTCCTAGCGGACCTCCAGGGTTCCGTTTCTATGAAGTGTGTTTGTGTGTGGCATGGGAAGTGGCATTGCCTTCAGCCAAGGATATTGGGAAAGTGAAGTAGACCCTTTCAAGTACACTCCAACTCTTTACAGAGAATTTGTTTCTGGCATTTTCAATAAACTTGCAGTCTCTTGTGAGGAACTTCATTATTTTATACAAAGCCTATATCCAACAAACACTTATTATGCACACAGCCCATGCTAACTAAACGATACAAAGAAGGGCAAGATAGTAGTTCTGCCACGTTCTGGCTGTGTGGATTTGGACAAGTTACTTAACATCTTTTAAGACTCAAAATATGGAAACAACCTAAATATCCATCAACAGATGCATGAATGAGGAAATTGTGGTAAATATACACAATGGAATAGTATTCAGCCTCTGTAAAGGGGAGTTTGCAACAACCTGGATGAACCTGGAAGACATGCTGCTTACTGAATAAGCCAGACCCAGAAAAAACTGCATCTCACCCATCCATGGAACCTTACAAAGCTGAATGCATAGAAGCAAAGAGTAGAATGGTGGTTCCCGGAGTGGGTGGGGGGCGGGAGATGGAGAAAATGGGGAGATGCCGGTCACAGGGCGCAAAGCTGCAGTTATGTAGGATGGAGATCTGACATACAGCATAGTGACTGTAGTTAACACTGGAAATTTGCTAAGAGAGTAGATTTCAAGTGCTCTCACCACTCACAAGAAAATGGTAACTATGCAAGGAGATTTGTTAATTAGTATGAATGTAGTAATCCTTTCACCATATATGAGTATCATCATGATGCACACACTAAATCTTTATTTACAATTTTTATTTTTTAACAAATCATATTAATACCTAAATAAGAGTTAGACTCCCCATCTATAACATGGGAATAATACTAATACCTTCTCCACAGGATCATGTTGAGGATTAAATTAGAAAACACAAGTGAAATGGATACTACAGTGCCGGCACACAGAGGTATTCAATAAGTATTTGCTACTACATTTATTAGTTATTCTTATTGATAGTACTGTTATGAGTATTGTTATTATTGTTACCATAGTCCCCCATTACCCATGGGGGAATATGTTCCCACACCCCCCGTGGATGCCTGGAACTGCACAGAGCACCAAACTACACATGCTCTGTATTTTTTCCTATACATACATATGGTAATGTTAAATTTATCAATTAGGCACTGTAAGAGATTAACAATGACTAATAACTGAACAGAGCAATTATAATACACTGTAATAAAATTTGCATGAATATGGTCTCTCAAGATATTGTATTGTACTCATCCTTCCTGTGATGTGTGAGAAGATAAAATGCCTACATGATGAGATGAAGTGAGGTGAATGATAAAGGCATTGTGATGCGGTGTTAGGCTACCACTGACCTTCTGACCCTATGTCAGAAGGGGAATCCTCTGCTTCCAGACTGCAGTTGACTGTGGGTAACTGAACCCACAGAAGGGAAACCGTAGGCTGGGGGATTAGCTCTGCCTTCAAGGACTTAATAGCTCAGTTGTAGAAAGAAGACGAGCATGCTCAGAAACTTCAAATAACAACATAAGGGAATGGATCTGAGATAGCAGCTGGGTTTCACATCCCTTGCCAACCAACCCCAGGGAGCCTTTGGTAGCTGCCTCAAGCGTTATGTTAAGAATTCTGAGGTTCTTGCCAGCGTGGGAGGGAAAGAGCACCAATATCGATTAGTGATTTTTTTGTGTGTGTGGGAATGGGGAGTGTGACTATGAGGTTATATTCCAAGTACTTGCCATTCTTAGAAATAACAAAATGCCAGGTGTGACAGATTAGGTAAAAGAGTCATTTCTGGAGAAAGATTTGATGCTAAGTATTAGCTTCTACAAATATGGTAACCAGAGATACTAAGCTGGTCACCCAACATCAAATAAACTGTTCCTTGTTCCAATAAGTTCCTTCATGTGCACTGGGCCATGTGCCTGGATTTAAAGTTCAGAATATATGAGCACCAGTAAGCCTCTATCTACCACCTTGTCTACCATGGAGCTATTTAAGTCTCTTTCCTTTTGGCCTTGCTCATGAAGACCATCCTCTCATGTTCAGTCCATGGCTGCTGTTCAGAGCCTATCACTCTTACGTGCACTTTAGAAAGTCCTTACTAATGTCTTCCACTGCAGCCCCAAGCATCTGAGATTCTCAACAAATGCGCGCCAGATAAAAAGTCATTGAAGACGAAAAATGGATCACCCAGCCAGAAACTGCAGCTTCCATTTATGCCATGTGCCTCCTCTATATTCAGAACTGTGCTAGCTCTGGGATGAATATCAAAGAGATATTTATTAAAACCACAAATAAGGATGGGAAGTTGTGAAAAGTTCCTGTTTGCAAAACTTTATAACTTGGCATAATTGAGATTTTATTCATCCATTCATTTTTATGGAGACTCTACCACAAAGTAGGCACTTGTGTATTAGTTAGAACTTGTGTGGTTCCAAGTGGCAGAAACCTAACTCAAACTCATTTAAGCAGAAGAAGTTATTAATAAGGGATAATAGTCTGTGATGTTTGTGACACCCAGACAGGAATGTGCCCTGGACATGGGAACATCTGAAACCAGAAACTCAAAGACCATTAGGGTTCTCATTTATTCTTCTTGTCTCTGCCTCCATTCACTCTCTTCATTAGTTTCACTCTTCATTCTAGCTAGGGGTCAGCTTCTTCTTTGCGGTGAAAAACATGGGAGCCGATAGCCCCCAAATTTACCAGTACATCTATAAAGCTTGGCTCCTGGCAAGAGACCTTAACATTCTCTCTAGTTCCAAGTTGAAAAATCCCAGGGAGGGATTCTTTGAAGCAGTACAAGTCAGGGAAACTCCAGAGAGTCATGAAACAGCACGGCAGCTCCTGTGGGAACCACAAAGGTGGGGAGCAGAGAGAGAAAATTTCTGAAAGAGGGTGAGCTGCTGGGCAAACAAAACTAGAGGTGACTGTTACATCCTTCCATGTTTATTTTTTCACACCAACTCAACCCAGCTACCTGCCAGTAATTCCATTCATTCACAAGCACCTATGCATTTACTGTCTGCTGTGAGCCAGGCAATGTGCTAGATTTAGGGGATGAAAAGATGACCATGAGGCCTCCTGAGAGTTCTAGGCACTCAGAGATACTGAGAAATACAAAATGCCCTTGGTACAGAACCGCTAGGAAGTTACCGTGTAACTGGAGAAAGAAGGTTGTGCGTTTGGAGTCATCCAGTGGCAAGCTGGGTGCTGTGGATATGAGAGTAGACTATGGTAAGCAGGGTCAGTGAGGCCTGGAAAATTCAGGGGAAGCATCTTGGAGAGGGTGATACGTCTATAGTGTCTTTAGTAGGTGAGGAAGTTTTTGTTTGACTACATGTGCTCTAAGTGCAGGATTTTCACAGCATCACACTGAGGCCCTCTGTTCACGGCTGTCGGCGTCCAGAGGCCATTGGGAATGCGGCCAGCGGCAGGGGGCCATGTTCCTTTCTCAGAGACAGGACTACCACCCACAGCTCTTCTGATAGTCTTGTTTTTAATTGTCACGGCCCGTTGGATGAAGTCCTCTGAGTTTGATGCAAGTTCAGAATAATTCAAGGATTAACTCATCTTTCTGGGCTCAAGGAGCTACACAAGCAACATCTGGTACAGCCTGCAGAGGGATTCTTCACCCAAGGAGTTTCAGATTTCAACATGTGAGCCATTGTCCTGAATAACATCATCGACGGGAAACAGCACTCAGAGACCTCATCTCATAGCAAAAGCTCTGTGTAACACCTCGTGGTCATGTTTTGCACATGACAATAATAAATGGTGCAAACTGTAACAGGTTCTTTATCACTTTGTTTCTTGCCAAAAGGAATAAATTGCATACTGATGGGGTTGAAATCCTCCTGTAGGTTCCCTTTGGGGCCATTCCATAGCCCATCTGAGCACGTTAGTAACACCCTCCCCGTACCTGGACCAGCCCAGTCTCTCATTTTACTGTAGTCACAGGAACTCTCTTGGTCCGTTTCTTTGTCAGATCCCATCTGTCACCTCCCTGTCTGCCCAGGCTCTCTGGAAAATCTTTGGTTGGGACCGTTTTCTTGTCTCTTGGTAAATCCTGGCTTTATCCCTCCATACCGTTTTTGGTACTCCTGGCCTTGCCCTCTGCATTGCAGCTTTAGACCCAGCACTCCTGGAGTTCTCTCCAAGGTCAAGATTTTGCCAGCTTCTTAAATGTGGAATACTATACTGCTAATAGTTGGGTGCTAAGTGTCAGGTATATTATTTATGGAGGGGGAGGCACTATTATCATCGCCCATGATTCATCAGTGAGGAAAATGAGACCCAGAGTTTGAGTGAATTGCCCAGTTACAACATATAAACTCATGTTTGTCTCACTTCTAAAGCTGTGCTCTTTTTAAGGGATAAATCTAGGGACCCAAGAATACGGTCATGGGAGTCCTTATTTCCAGGTGTGAAGGGAGAAGGAAAGAGAAATGGAAAACACCAAGAATAGTGGCTCTGAATTCAAAGAAAGGGAATTTTGAGACATGGTGAATTGTGTCTACACCAGAACAGGTTGGAGAATTTTGAGACCACTGGCATGAAAAAAGCTGTTGGCAAATGTTTTCAAGAGTAGGGCAGTGGGTCTGGAAGAGGTTAGGAAATGGGTAGAACAACCAGACAGCAAACAAAAGGAAAGACATCAGACAGAGGATGGGATGAAGGAGAGGGCTGATCTGTATCTACTAAACTTGAAACTCGGGGGCTGAGGCACAGGAACTGTTTTAACAAGCTCTCTGGTGATTCTGATACATTAAAGGTTGTGGACCTCTGCCACAGTACGGTTTCTCAGCCTTGGCTGCACACTGGGACACCACCCGGAGCACCGCTGCTTCTACTCCATTTTCGAAATGGATTTCATTGCTCCAGGCAATGGTGCTTTACAGACAGAGTTCTCCAGGTGATTCTAACGTACAGCCTGAGTTGAAAATCAGTGCTTCAGTCAAAGAGGTGGAAGGGGTAATGATAGCTGCAGTGCAAGCTCTGGCTGTGCTGGGCATTGTGCTAAGAGCATACTTTTCAAGCTTTAATGGGCCTGAGAGAGCCCAGCAAACCCCAGGGGCTTCACAGCCACTGCTCTAATGAATCCTCGTGACAAGTCACATACCGTAAGGCAGTACCCTCATTATTCACATTTTACAGATGAAGACACTAAGGTTCCAAGAGGTTACCAGACTTGCTCGGGATGTCACAGCAAGGAGATGGCAAAACTGGAACTTGAAATTCAGACTCTAAAGTGCCACAAATATGGCCACTTTCACCATTATTAAGTGTACAAATTCAGCAGCATTAAGTATATTTGCAGTGTCATGCAAGCACCACCACTATCCACTTCCAGAATCTTTTCTTCGTTCCTGACAGAAACTCTGTACCCATTAAATAACTCTCCACTCTCCTCTCCCTACAGCCCCTGGTAACCTCTATACTGCCGCCTCTATGAATCCAAGTATTCATTCCAAATCCGATAGGCTCAAAGAAGAAATGGAAGTGCTGAAATTGATACATTTTTCTTCCCTGAATGAGGGTATCTCTGAATTAAGTGAGGCCCCCACCTGCAGCCCATGCTCCCAAAATGCTGAACACCTTGTAATTCCCACCAAACAGCACGTTCTTTCTTGCCTGTTGAGCCCCAGCACAGGTGAACCCCTCCCACTGGGTGTAGCTTTTCCCACTTTGCCTTCGTTTAGAAAACTGTCTCCTCCTCTGCATCTTCCCGCAAGGCATGACCGTCCCTGGGGATCTGAGCCAAGTGTCAGAACCAGCTTAGTCCCTTAGCCCAGGATTTGCAGACTATTGGGCACTCTGATCACCTAGGCATCTTGTTAAAATGCACATTTGGACTTAGTGAGTCTGGGGCAGAGCCCCAAGATTCTGCATTCCTACCAAGGTTCCAGGTGACGCCCATTGTTGCTGGTCCCCAGACCACACTTTGAGCTGCAAGATCAAAGAGTGCAGGATTTCACCACAACATATTTTGCTGTGGTGTTTCCTTGGCTGTTTTTCCACTCCACTGTAAACACCTTAAGGGCAGAAACCCATCTTTTTGTTGTTATATTCCAGAGTCTAATATTGCATCAACCCACAGAAACTCTCAATAAAAGTTGAATGAATAAATAAAGGAGCTCACAGGCTGGAAGGTTTAAAAATGAACCAGATCTGTGAAGAGCTTCGTAAACCATACTAAGGAACTTGAAATTTATCCTTATGAAGTGACAGGGAGCCACTGTAAGATTTGAAGTAAGAAGGTGATAAATCAAATGTTTATGTGCAGTGTGTAAGATGTGTTAGAAAGGATCAAGACTGAAATCAAGGGAACAATAGTGAGCTACTGGAGGAGTCCAAGCAAATAATTGTGAAGGCTGGTACTAAGACGATGATGGTGGGAATGGAGAGGAAGTAGAGGATTCAAGACCGTAGATGAATTGACCGTGCATCCCCATTTGCCTCAGACAGACCCAGTTTACTCTGGGTGCCATTATTCATTGTGTCCCTTTCATTCTGCCAAATACCATGGTTTGGCTGATAATTATCTGCTCACCCTGTGCATGAGGTAGGGGTGGGGAGTGGAGTGAGCAATCTGGGATGTGACTCAAGTTTCTGCTCTGGGTGACCTGATGGATGGTAACAAACATCATTCAGCAAGCTAGGTCCGCTAGGAGGAGAAGCAGTGGGAAGAGAAGTTTCTCTTTAAAATAAAAATAGTTAAGCTAAATAGCAAGTTATTAGTATTAAATACATTGCAATTAACAGCGTAACAAAAATTTCAGAGGAGACACACAAATGGCTGAAGTTTTGGGAATACAGATCTAACTATCTCCAAATTGAGAACATCATTCCTCCCTGAAGCTCTGGGTGAAGTTAGTCTCAGAGCAGTTTATTAGAAAAATGTTCTAATCTTTCATTCAGAGCAACTGCAGATGGGAAGTCAACATGGCCAGTTAATTCTGATTTTGTTACTCACTCCCATTTGCTTCCTTTTAAGTCGCTGTTGCACCTATTCCCTACACCGAATGACTTTGGAGTTACCTTCAGGATTAACCGCATCACAATAGATAGTTGTTTGGACAGTCAGTATAATAACATACAACCCCAAAGCCTAGTTAATTGAGTCAGAAGAACACATTCCCTGGTTTGACCTGAGACAAAGGTCAAGGAACACCAAAATGTCCTGCCTCTTCTACAAGCCACACGACTCAATATCCTGACTAAACTCTATTCATACTTGCCAACGCGTCAAATCTTTTCCTCCCCCTACATGTCAACAACTAGGTAATTACTTAATAAACCTCAGAACATACCCTTGCTTCTTCTCTTGGCCAGAGAGACCTGGGATTTTACTGGTTTCAGTTTCCAGGTGGCTCTTACTTAAGGGTTCCAAGTGCGGTCAAGCCCTTGGAGAATAAATTCACCTGCTGGAGCTTTTTGAGGGAGCTTTCAAACAAAACTGTGGCTTTTCAAGTATTAAGAGGAAATGACAGACTGAACTAAGCTCAGGATTCATTTTAATACACGTGTTAAAGGTTATGTTAGCAGCTGTCAAATCACTGGCCAACTCTAAATACATCACTCTTCGCCTTAAATCAGAAGTCTTGCATGGTACCTGGAACTGGCTACTCTGGGCCAACTCTGAGCAAAAAGTTTGTTCGAGAAGGTTAAAGCTGTCTTCTGGCCATTCCTGTCATTTGTGCTAATATTAGCCTGATAAGCAAGAGAGCTGGAACCAGGGACCCTAAGTCCTGAGGCCTTCACTGCTTCCTGCTGCTGGAAGCTCAGAGAAATCTTACTGGGCACTTGAGGTCTGATGCCAACACCATACCATGCATCTGACAAGTGGGACCACTGAGGACTTCTTTTACCCAGCCTGGGACAGCCTAAACGGTCTTTACTCTGGGCTCCACCATGTCTTCTCCCTTGGGAAGTAGAGAGCAGAAGTTCCTTTCCAAATAGAAGACAACATGAAATCCATCTTACAACAGCAACTAGAAGCAAAAGATACTAAGGTGACAGTCCTAAGAAAGCACACCTCACAGTGGCCAGAACCTTAATCATATAGAAAGCCCCCTCCTCCCACCACCCCGAGGCTCACTGCCCGATGAACCCCTTGGCCATTTCTGTGTTCCTCCTCTGGGGTCGTGCATGGGTGGAGGGCTAATTGCAAACTCCCACCGAAGAGCAGGTGTGCCATGCAAGCCCTCCCTCTCTATTGTGTTTCTACCTGATTCCCACCACCTGCCCCCTCCCCATTTTTGAAGCAGTAACACAGAGACATTTCACCCATTTGTCTAAACTTGCCAGTTTAGGCATTTCACTCCTCAGGACCTTATAAGGCCCTAGAAAAGCCGACAGATTCATTTTCACATGGTAATGGTTGATGATCACATTGTTCTGGTGCAAAAGGTTGCTGGTAGGAGTCCCAGCCCTGGGTTTGGTCTTGGCCCCATCACTGGGTACCTGGTGACAATCTCACTGCACCTTAATTTACTTGAATGAGGCTAATTATGAGAAAATGCCCTTTTCAGTGTCTTTGATTTGGTTAGATGCTCAATCAATGTTAACAGAACCTTAGTAATAATGCAAGCAGGCAAAGAAATACCGGTGGTGTTTGAGCAAAAGTTCATTAATACCTGGTACTGAACAAAATTGTGCTGCCTTTCCTTAGGTAGTTCTAAAACAATTTTCCTTTTCAAAATGACAAAAGGATTTTTAGGACAGTGAAAC